CAGGGAGTCAGGGAAGGGCAGGTGAGTCTTCCTCTACTGTTTCAAGCAAACAGATTTGGCCATCCTGTCTAGCCTCAGGCTCTGAGTCTGTTGTGCACAGCAAGGATGGTCTGCAGAAATCCTGATCCCTCCTGCCCCAGTTCCTTTGTACTCTCAACTCCTACTTCCACACTGTTTGATCTTTGGTATGACTCTGGCCCTTTACCCATAAACACCTGCCTCTGAATCACAACCTCAAGATGTTCCGCCAGATTCACAACCTCTCTTTTCTTCCTTTCACTTTATTTACTTTTTTTTTTTTTTTTTTTTTTAGTGGAGGCAACACTGGTTTCCATTGTTGTTTCTGTATTAGAAGTCTAGGATCTCCCTGCGCAGATGTTGTTACCACACTGCACTCACCACCAAGTCACCCAGTTCACCAGCACCGTTCACTGTGCTCCCTCCCTACACCTTCTCAACTTTTCAGCTCTCCTGCCACACTATCCCAGGTGGACATACCACAATTCTCCTGCGTCATCACAATTTCTCTCATTTTCAGTTGCCACAAATTTTCATATTTTTATCCAGCCATCAATAAGATCAAGAATCTCTGAAAGTGTCTTTTCCTGGTCTCTTAGTCATCTACACTCAGAAGTGAACGAGTCTTGCTTTAAATATCCAAAGGGATACACACACAGCTATTAAGATTCAAGCTGCCCAACAATTCCCAACTGAAAGCCTCTCTTGGAAATCAGATGGCAGACTTTTCCACATTTTCCATAACAACTCTTTCAAAGCTTTCTCACACCCTATGGGTCACTCCCTATACTATCCTGCCCCAATCAGCAGAGTACCCAAGCTTCTAATTCTTGGAGACATTCTTGTTGTTCTGACACCACCTTCCTTCTACTTGCACTGAAGAACATCTGTCTGACTTCCTTCACTCACCTTCACAATGAAAAATAGGACTCCCAAGGCTAACCCTTCCAAAAAAGCACCAGTTCATATTGTTGGGGTCTCTGAAAGAACCTTGGTTGCACATCTGCCCCTTCAGAAAGCCTATTACTCAAACTGTATGTCCCAGGATCAGTCTGCTTACAATGCTCCATGTCATCATAAGCATTTTAATTCCCGCCACCCTCTTCCTACTATAGCAGGTCCCTAAAATGCTGTCATCACTACTGAGACCATTTATGCCTTATCATTTTGCCTAGGAAATTCCTACAACTCAAGTTTTCAGAATGAAAATCAACTATGTATGTTCTTCTACTGATCTTGCTAATATCCTATGTTTTCCCTGTTGCCACTGAAAGCAAACAATTTCATATACTTTCATCATGTATAGATTACTAAACTAAGTTACTAAAATCTAAAACCAGCTTTTTACTAGAGAGTTCTAGTTAGTTTTTCTTCTAAGATATCTGATTACAACATATTACTTGGCAAGTTTTCCAACAGGTAAAATTCTACAACCAACATTCCCTCAATTTTGGGGAAAAAATTATCAGCATCTCTAGCTAGTTCTAAGTATTAAACTTCAAATCAGAATCACTCCTCATTTACCTTTCATAATAAAGGATTTAGTTCAGTTAATGGCATGAGGACTATTGATAGTTGTTTGCATCAACAATATTTTATATAGGTGGATTTTATAATTAATGTTAAGGTGAAAAGACAGGTTATTTACGCCCAAATTATTTTGTTTGAAAGATAACAAAATCTTTTAATCAAAGAATTACTTTCCACTAAGAAACTGGAATAGGCATAACAAGAAAGCCATTAACTAATCTGCCCTGAACTGTTCATACTTTAACAGATTGATTATTTGTAACTTTTTTATATTATGACAAACCGGGCCGTGATCAATTCGGAGATGCCAAAAATAATTTGTTACTAACTTAGTTAAAAAGCTTAAATTTAAAAAAAAATGCCATAGAATAGAATCTGTAGTGTTTCATATTTTCATATACATGTAGTATCTGATAAAGGAATATAGTTACATGTGGTATCAAATTAGTGCCCTTAAGCATACATAACTCAAGACAGTCCTTTACTATATGTATCAGAAAGAAAAAGAAGTGGGTAAAAACTGTGAGTCTAAATAAATCTGTGCTATGCAGTATTGATAGGTATGAACAGGAAGAGATGTTGACAACCTGCAAAGGGAGACAAAGTGGAGGGTAAAATGGAGGAGGAATCACTCTCAGTTGTCAAGACTGGGTAACTTATAACATCTTTCAACTGGACAGGAATTAAAAAAAGAAAACAAACAAACAAAAACATTGATTCCAACATTGAATATGTCAAATCTCATAGCTAATGACATTTGGGAAGATATAAGATAATTAGCAATTACCACCCTAAGGACAACAAATCAGGCTGGACAAATAGACATCACCTTTGTTATACACTGAGATGTAGGCAGAAATCAAAATCAACCTGGGCAGGTGTGTATGCCAAGAAGAGAAAGGAACAAGATGACATAACATGGGGTGGGGGGAGCCATTCTTATTGATAGGGTAGAAGGACTTATTCAAAGAAAACAATTGCTAGACTAATGTTTTTAATTCTCAGAGACTTCTGGATCAATATTTGGAACCTGTGGGCACAAATTTACTCATAAAAATCTAGACTATGTACATGCTTCACTCTCAGTTCCTATTTTGATAAAGTGCTCTAGCATACCATAAAGGAGAACTGGATCATTTCAGATCTACAAATGATTAAGTTGGAGCTTTTGCAAATCAAACAAGACATCTTACACTACACATTCAATACCCAAGAACTTAGATCTAGCAAAGGCCCAGGGCTTCTATGAAATGAGGAGTGAACATGGAGACACAAACCAGCAAACCAAACTTCAGAGAGTTTTAAATAAATTGTCCAAGGTTACAGACTACCAATGGGACATCTGGGACTTAAATGCATAGAGATCTGATTCCAAAGGCTGTGTTATTTCCTTATCACACGTGTAATTTTAAAACTATTCGTAGGAGGCACATGGTTGGCAGAGGACAGTGGTTAACTGTGAGGTTCTCCAGGCAACTCATTCCCACCATCAACCTGAAGGTTTACTTTAATCTGTTTATATATGGGATTCCAAGCAGAATTAAGAGTTTAACTTAAAAAAAAAAAAAAAGAGAGGGGGGGTTGTTTGGGCCATGGATTAAAACTTTGAATTTTTTCAGGAAATCTGATTTTCTGACCTGAGGTTCTTTTTGTTTGAACAAAATGTAGCAAATATGAAAGCAGATTTAGACTTTATACATTCTGTAATGTGGTTGTTAAGATTCTTAAATTGTAGCCTATTATAATATTTTGAATGAGATCTTCCAACTTCATGAGAGTTATTTTTCACAGATATCTCTAGGCTTTCATTGGACAGCTATTTTCTCCTAGTAATACATTTTGGTTACCTCATTTTACTGTTTGTTACAGATTATGAAAGCTTACAGGGTGATTTTTGGGGTCATTTGCCAAGTCATTTCCTCAAATCATGTCCCATTGCATCAGTTAACAGAGCTTTAAATATAGTATTATAAAAATGTGTAACTAAATCATTTAAAGGCTTGATAAACTTTTAACAAAGTTTGTACATGTTTTAATGAAAGCTGCTAGTAATGCTTAATTTAGAAGTGCAATGAATTTTTATTTCTCAATCTTGTACCTGGTTTTGGAGTTGAGAGGGTAGTTGGTAATAAATATATGACATACACTTAAGTAAACAAATAGTTTCCACATTTGAAAAAGATTTTTGAAACAATCTGACATTATGCTTCAAAGAATTAGAACAAGAACAAAGTCCAGGGTTAGTTAGAAACAAGAAAATAACAAAAGATCAGAGTAAAAAGAAATGAAATAGTAGACTAAAAAGACAAAAGAAAAGGTCAACAAAACTGAGTTGGTTTTTGAAAAGATAAGCAAAATTGACAAACCTTTATCTAGACTCACCAAGAGAAATAAAAGATCTGAACTAACCAGTCATCAATAAGGAGATCAAATCAGTTATCAAAAACTTCCCAGCAAACAGTGAAGTCTAGCCCAAATAGCTGGTGCCTTCTTTATATTTACCAAACTTAATGCTTTAGAGTTACAATGAAGAATTCAGATGCTTTCCAAGTTCTCCATTGACATTGAACTACATTACCCTGGAACACAGGAGGGAGTTACTGGGACCAAGCCATGCATGTGGAATTGATCACATATCCAGTCTCATACAAAGAACACCAACATCTAATTTCTAGAAAAATCACTTGTGAGTAAAAATAAATGTTGTAAGATTAGTGATTTTCAGCAATATTCAATGACATGGGTAGGTGGGTTGGTTTGCAGTTTATTTGCTTCCTATGCTTGCCCTATAGAGCAAAGAAATCCAGTTCAGTTCTCATGTGAACTGACCACAAAGGTATCCTTCACAGAGTAATGCTATGTAAGAACATGTTATTAACTTCTATCCTCTAAAGCACTATTTCTGGTCAGCAGCATTTGAGGAAACATGACATTAACCAAAGTACTTCCTAGGAAAAAAAACACCATGAAGGTCAGATGATCCAGTTAAATAGATTATAAAATTAAGGCATGAACAGATGATCTCACTTATATGTGAAACATAGAGAAACAGAATAAAGAGTCAGTTAAAACCAAATCAATAATAAACTCTTGACATCTAACAGTAGAACTGGACCAACCAGAATGGGAGGGAGGTGGTCAATGGAACTTGGTGGTGAATTGGGGTCACTGGTGGTGGGCTTGGTGTGAAAATTCACCTTTTGTAGAAGTTCAAACCTATACCCCCAAAGAAGATATAATGGTGTAAAACTTTGCCTCAATAAATACAATTTTTATATTAAGGCACAAAAAATGTTAAATGCCATTGTTGGTTAGTAAACTAGGTTAGGAATGCCATACTCCCAAATTCCTTTCCTTAAAACTCTTCTTCCCCTACCCAGCCCAAGACACAAGTGTCAAACAGAAGGGGATTAGACTTCACATAAAGTCATAATGTTAATTCAAAACTGTACCTTTACAGCGTCTGATGAAAGCACATTTTCCTTTTTCTGACTTGTGCTCACAGGCTCATTTTCAACACTGAAAAATAAAAACCAGTTTCTTTTGAAATTAAAAGAGAATTACTAAAATCATAGTTAATGTGTATAAAGCAAAAACTGAAAAGTCCTTTCTTTGCAGTTCTCAAAAGAGTCAGATACAAAAAGTTGATTTTAATCCCTACATTTGGGGAAAAAAAGCAATCAAAATACTTATCCAAGTTGCAGAAATTTTTGTTAGTCCATTATGAATATTTTCTGGATGACCAGCATCACTGTTGGGACATACCTGAACAAGAACACCAGAGTGTGATCGTAAGTGTTAACACTCTGATTTTATTTACATTCAGTATCACTATAGTCTGATCTTTTTTTTTTTAATGTCCATGCTGTGTGTTATCTGGAAAACTTTTCTACCTGGCAAAACTTTATATATCTAGTGAATTCTAGAAACACTTAAAATAGAAAGGGGCCTATCTAGTCCCAAATGTGTACCAAACAGTACCTTAACAATCTGATTTTCCAGATAGCCACTTCTATCTGGAGGGAAATACCTTCAAGTCTGCCTTAAACATTTCATAATAAATTACTTTACCTACAAGGTACATATCCATTTCAGATCTAAATCCTTCTATTGCAATGTCTATATACTTTCTTCTTTTCATACTTTCCTAATCCTAGACAAACTGAGTAGTTCTATCCTACAATTATCACAACAGAGACTGTGCTTGTTCTCAAGAATGATTAAGAACAAGTAGCACCAGACCTTTGTAAAATTCAGTCTAGTGGGGAAACAGATAGGAAACCAAACTTTAACAAGTTTTCACTGCTGAATAAACAAAAAGCTATGGAGACAGAGGGAAAAAGGAGCAGGGATGCTGCCTGCTAAGTCAAATGCCCACAGAGGAGGTCCAGAGGCTGGAGAGAATACAGAATATGACATTTTTGGAAAACCATGCTTTTTTAGGTTTTTAATGCAAGGCTAGAGGCACAGGAACTTGTGACTAGCAAAGGTAATTTTGCTACAAAGGAGAATGAGATCAGAAGTTAGTGAATGCCAAATTATGAAGAACTTGCCTGAGCCAGTACAGAATTTGACCTGGGTTCTTAGCAGAAGGCCATCTTAAGGCAGGCAATCAGTATAGAATAGAATGGCTATGAGTGGGGGAAAAGTAGGGTTTCATGGCTACTGGTGGCAGAGGGATCAGGTCTGGCAGTAGTTCACATCAGATAAAGACCACCCCAAAGAGAGAGGATGGGAAACAGAGCACAAGTCACTCTACTCAAGACTTTGTCCATAAAATCCAGTGTGGTTATCCAGAGAACAAAAGAATCAAAGATAGAAAGAAAATATAGATCATGAATACCTGGAAAATATAATGGATTAAAATTTCATTAAGTCTTAGACTCTATGCAGGAACACATGAACCATCAAGGCACAGTCATGCTTTTAGCCTTTTAAATGTCAGTAGGAAAGGCACGCATATTAAGATGATGAAAATGTGAACTGTGGAATGTTGGCTGTTTTGTTTCTAATTGGAGATGCTCTAAGCTACTTTATTTTACACAATAGTAGTTGACCCTAAATAATCTCACTCAATGTGAGGTTTTGACTTACCATAGGTCATCTGATTAAATTGGCAAATAAAGGAGGAAAAAAAATCAATTCACACAGCTATTGTTATAAACTTAAAATTACAAATATTGGCTATTGCCTATTATTATCAGTAAGCCTGTACAGATTACTTTAAAAGCAATACAGTTAGTGATTACATATAGAGATCACAAGCATCTCATGCTAAATGGGGAAGAAAACCTGTATTTTGTTATGCAAATGGTTACAAAGTGACTTCAAGTAAAAATGTCTAGTGTCAATACCATGACAAAGACATATTCCAGACAACTTTAATAGCATGGGAATTTCACAAGAAAAAGTCAAGGACAATAGTTGAAAATAATATTGTATAATATAGAAATGTAACCTATACACACACCTATAAAATGTCTCAGGTGGTAGCTATTTTAAAAGTGGGTTCTTATTTTTGCCCTCCTAATTTTACTAGCCTTCTGCCACAAAAGTACAGGGGTTTTAAAAATTAAATTTTCAATTGATATTTGTCTAAATAAACTCAAATTAAAAGAGACTGGCAACATGTAAGAATGTGTGTATGATTTGGATTATAATCAAGAATAATACTAGTTGTGAATATTTTATAAGCATATTCTCTAATTACAATCTATGATCTACCTAAAAGCTATCTTAACAAGGATTTAATTTTAGCTGCCTGATTCTTCTGTGGATTCCTGATACCCCTGCCTACTTTAGAGCGTTTACAGGACTCTATATGCCCGATTGCCTTTTTTTATGATATACATGAACTAGTAAAAGTTTCATTTCTGATAGAAAAATTATGCAGAAAAAGCAACTATAAGTACATGGATTAAAGCAAAATTCAGTATTTTCAAGTAGCTGTACTAACTTTCACACTACAAACACACACAAAATGCCAGAAAAATGTGCTTGTGAAGTCAGCACATAAAACATTTTTAAAAATATTTATTTATATACAATTTATAACAGTTCATTTTTGTATGATGCTTGATTTTGCAGGTATAGCCCCTGTAAAATTCCCACCACCAAGTCACCTGTGAAACATCATTATAGTCTCTAGCACATGAAACATTTTGAATTGAGCAAGTAATTGAAGAATTTAAAGCTGAAGTCACCAAAAGAAGTATTTCACACTTTATAGAATTTATGAAACTTATATTTTATGCTCGAGTTTCATGAATCTTATTGCCAAATCAAGAATTCAAAAGGTATTGTGTTAAAACTAAACAACATAGGGTCCTCCCTGGTGGCACAGCGGGTTGGGGCACAGCACTACAAAGCTAAAGCCACTTCAGCATGAGTTCGATCCCCGCCCCGGAGGTGACCCATGTGCAGCAGATCTCTCCTGACCTGCCCGCTGTTCCCCTCAGCAGTGTGCATCATTGCTCTGCCTGTTCTGCTCCCTGCTCTATATGGTGAGTCCTCTCACTGCACCTGCAACTCTGGCCTGTACCCCAGTTCTGTATGCATAAATAAATAAATCTTAAAAGTAAACATATTTAAAACTTTCGGTTTAACTATAAAATTCACAGCTTCATTTAAAGCTTTTCCCACTTTTTCCACTTTTTCCTAGATTACTAGAGTCTTTTCTTAATTGGCCTGGCACTTCAGGATTGATTTGCTTCAATCCATTCTTCCCCTCAAAGTGATCATTAATCTGATCACGACACTCTTATTCGAAAGGCTCCTATAGCACATCTCTCTCGATGACAAATCCTTAACATTCACATAGAAAGGGACTCATGACCCATTCTTAGGCCACGCCAGGTTGACATGCCAGCAAAAACACTTTTTCCACCTGCAAATCCTTCCTACCCTCCCCAATTCTTAATTCTTTACAATTGAGTTCCTTCTTGGACTGCATTTTGAGTTCTCACTGTATGCAAGAATAACTCATTCCTGACCTTTGCCATAAAGGTCATCAAATTCTTGTCTAACTAGAATTTGAACCAATTAAATTCAGAAGTTATTACCATTCATGTCTGTATCCCAGTGCCTAGTCTTGTGTCTGGCACTCTGAAACCATTCAAGTATTATTTGTTAGATGAATAGAAATAAACCAGTGTAAAGCAGGTGCTTCATTTTTGTTTGCTTGTCTTCACTGGAAAGCACTATTCCATTGGGAAAAATGCAATTATATACATTAGTCTTTTATTCTGAATGAAGTAGTATGTTAAGTTCCCTGAGCGAACATACCAACCACTCTCATTCCAAATCTCCCTTTATCTAAGTGTATAAACAGAGGAGTAGAACGAGGGACTGTGCATTTACAGTTGACTTAAAAACAGAACACATAAAAAAATTAGAATGTGTTGATAAAATTTACTCAAAACACTGGATGCTACGTGTCTCCTTAATTCTTAATTAAGGAAAAGGCGGCACAGTTCACATGCTGTCCATTTCTCTACAATGCGGCTGACATCCCTGTGAGGACAAGCTCTCTTACGGCTTCTAGTGTTTGGTGCAAACCTCAGGGCGAGGCCTGGCCCAGCACCTGCCACATCATTTTTCCAGATTTTTCCAGAGCATTCACTACATCCTGGCATTGGCCACTCTCTGGTGCTTAATTAAGAAAGAAGGCATATACAGATTTCTACAGCAATTGTGATTTCAAGAAAGATTTTGAGATCAGGAAGATGAGGAAGGTTGGTATCTTTCAGAGTGCAAAGAGATCTTTAAACTTTAAGGATTTATTTGGTTTAGCATGTCATTGATTTGTGTTCTTCAGCCATGAAACATGAATTATTTAGGCTATGGAATAATTTCTTTCAATAAACAAACAATTAAATCATGTGAAGAGAAAAACAGTCATGACTCAAAAGGTCTGGAATGGCACTTTCAGATTCTTAAACCTCCAAGGAGAAGAAAAACGTTTAAATTCAAATGATTTCAAACCTTATGAAACACGACATTCTGCTCCTATTGTTCTCTCACAGTTTAACCCCCTTTGGGACCCAGGAATATTTCAACAGCAGTATTTTTAGAAAGCACACATTTCGTTCATGGCAGGGGGTGAGGGGCGGGACTCAATCACAAGTAGTTAGAAAGTCTACTTGCATTTCTAAATAGTTTCTTCTAACTTAGCTAACAGAACTTTGGAAATTAATCTTTCAGAATAGCCCACATAAATACCAAGGGTAAAGTAACATAGACTTCTTATTTTTGAAGCAACCATATTAAGACCATGGAAACAAGGAGTCATTTCAATACACAACCATCCAGCATATACTTTATGCTGACATAAAACAAACTCTTGGCCATGAAAAATGTGGGGTATACAGAGGAGAACCCTTTTCTTATATCTTAAAATATTTTGTATTCTTATTCTTTTATTTTTAAAGATTTATTTATTTATACATACAGAACTGGGTACCAGCAGAGGTGTGTGTGTGGTGGGGGGGTTTATAGGATTCACCAGAGACAGAGTGGGG